AGGATGAAAACTGTCTCTGGCGAATGTTACGTTTTCATACCTAAAAAAAAGGCTGATTTTTTAACCAAAAAAGTCTCACCCTGTTTCAGCATATCGTTTTATTGGATATTTTCTGCCTAGTCTAGGTTCGGTAACCTTTTCACTGTCAGCTTAGTTCATCTTGACTTTGAAATAGAAAAAGCTATTTATGGTATCTGAAGTAATGGGTATATGCAAATTCCTGTTTTCAGGAGAATTGCCCACATGTTTATTTCTTTTCTTTGTATATATATATATATATATATATATATATAAGTGACCCTCCCAGTCAAAATCAGTCATGTGAAGGAAATTTCAAAATTTAGTGAACATTATTTCCAACAACAAAAAAACCATCACCATTTCACTACAATTTGGGGACAATATAATTTGACGAAAATATGGAACTTTTAAGTATGCAAGGTGCAGAAACACGAAAAGGAAAAAATGGGTTCCGAAGTTGAGCAACATGTTCCCATAGCAACGGGCGTCTTAGAATTGAGATAGAGACTTGAAATTTGGCAGTTATCCTGGCTATGCCACTACAAGGTAACACACAGAAGTATAAAACTATTATTTCTCAGAAAAAAAGCTTATTGACAAAACAAAATTTTAACGAGAAGGGTCTTCACGTCAAATGCAACAACCGGTCAGCATTGTAGGCCCTACTACACTTGGTACCAGAAACCTAAATTTTCAAACAATAATTAATGTTCTAATGTCAAATTTACATTCTGTTCCTCGTGGAAGGCCTGTGTCTCCTGTGTAAGTTGGTACCTTACTTTCACGCCTCTCAGTCAAGAAAAGAGCAGCTGTTTTAATTTAATACTTTTACTTAAAAAAAAAAAAACTTTTTCATCCTCTGTTACCGTTAAGCGTCGAGGGGAAATGCAGTTTTCTATGGTAGGCCAGCTCGGCAGCTCTTTCAGTGGTGATGATATGTTTTCTTATGGTTTCCTTGACACCCTCGATCCACCTTTTGCGTGGCCTTCCTCTTCCTTTATAGCCTGAGTGCTTGGTGTTGTAGGCTCTCGAGGCTGGCTGGTCAGGTGACATGCGTAACAGGTGACAAAACCATTTTATTCTCTGTCTTTCTATGTAACGCAGGCAGGACTCAGTATCGATAGCTGCAGTGATTTTGCTTTCATGGGTTTTGCTTAAGGTTCAGGTAACATAATGTTGGTATGAATATTGAGGTGATAGGCTGTCTCTTTGTGTCCATGGAGATGTTTGGATGAGATAGGTGGGGTGCGAGCTGGTAGGTGACAGCGTTGGCTTTTTGAGTTCGCATTTCTATTTTCTCTGTCTATGGACCCGTTTTCAGAAAAAGTGCTGCCAAGATATTTAAACTCCTTCAACTGTTTCAGTTGTTTACTATTGACATGGATGTTCAGGGGACTATGGCTTCAGTTCACTTTCATAACTTCTGTTTTTGATGTGCTTATTTTCATGTTGAATTTTTCACAGGTGTTGTTGTGCAGTCGCGTTTGTTGCCCTTTTTTCCATATTGGTACCACTATGGCTTTCTGCCAGTCTTCTGAGCATTTTCTTTGTTCCCAGGCTCTGTTGAAAATTCGCCTCTGCCACAGTACGCCGGTGTTTCCATAAGCTTCCGCTGTGATGTCATCTGGTCCTAGGGTTTTGTTCTTGGAGCTGGTCTTGAGTGCCTTTTCTGTTTCACTGGGAAGTATTGGTGGTTCTGTTTGATTTCCATATGATGGTTGGAATTCTACCACTTGTTGTCCGTGGCAAGCGTCTGGGTTGAGCAGTTCTTGGAAGTAATTTTACCATCTTTTCTTTATTGCATGTTTGCCGAGAATGGCGTTTCCCTCTTTGTCGTTTATAACGCATGTCGGGTTGTATGGGTCTTTCCTTATCCGCATTCTCTTCACACTTTTATAAAATTCTCTTGGGCTTTCCTTGCAGATTTTGGTCAGTTTCTCGCCATATATTTTCCATGCATTTTCTTTTGGTCTCTCTTCTCGCTTTCCTGTTTCTATATAATATAGTCTTCTTCGGTCTTTGACTTCTGTCATTTCTTGAATTTCTTCTTTTTCATTCTTTGGTTTCATCATTCCACCAGCATGTTGTTCTGCCTGTTTCCACATATTAGTTTGGTGCCACAACCGTTTTTCAGTATTACTGACAGGGATTTTTTGAATATTTGCCATTCGTCCTTGATCTCAGGTGACAGTTTATAGTACTCCGAGGTAATGTCATCCTCGACTGCTTTCTTGTTATCTGGTTCTTCCAGTCTTCTATGGTTAGTCGTAGTTTTTCCCCTGTTCTTCTATGTCTGCTTTACGTTGTTGGTTGTGAGAGTAAGTATCACAGGTTGTGGTCCGTGTCAATGATGTAGTTTGGAACCACTCTCGAATCTTTGGCTGTATGTCTTTGTTTCTGCACATCAGGATAAAATCAATTTGTGATGCATGGTTCAGGTCACTCCATATGTACCAGGTCTTGATTTGGCTTTGTCTATTTTGGAAAAGATATCGTGTTCAGCGTTTATGCTTTCTGAGATCTGATTGATTTCATAGATTGTATCCATTTTGGCTGGGTGTATGATGAAAGCTACGCCATGTTTGGCTCTGTCATTTTCAGGTGTTCCGCTGCAGATCAGGAGGTAGCCCTTATGGGTCAGTGTCTGACAAGTCCATGATTGCTATTTTCTTTCTTTCCATGAAATCCACTATTTCTGGTCTCCAATTCCCCTGATATTCCATGTGTCTATTTTAATCGCTAGAGCTCGCTGTCCGTTTACTTTTCCTGGCGGTTTTCCGTTTGAACTGTGGCTTTCTCCCTTGAGAAAGTTATCCGCCGTCGGCTTGCTAGGCCCCTTTAGCCAGCAACGTTTCGGGGTGACCCGGGTCGGACTTCACGGCTAGCGTAACGCCTCAGTGACATAAAGTCACAACCGTACTTCACCCAGACCCAGCTATCCCATACGAGGACGAAGAGTTGGACTTTGGGATGCTTGGATTTAATATATAATCGAATATTGTTAAATTTGCTAACTGGCTTTCCACAGTGATTCTCTAGCTCCAAATACTTGGAAAAAACAAACAAATTACGCTATTGTAAACGAATAAAAGCTTTCAAGGCGTACAGCATTAAAATTCGGACTTAAAGACTAAAGAAAAAGCGATCTGAATTATCTCGATTTCATCGAAACCGAGGGCTCGGATTCCGCGAGTCGGCTTACTAAATTTCAACGTTTGCGCACACACACATGCATACACAAATACACAAACATACAAACAGTCATATGCACACAGACTGCCTCGGTGGCCTCTTGGAAAGGAATCCACCTTGGGAGATCTAGAGTAAGATCAATCTTTTTTTAAAAACCCACTCAAACACAATAAAATCGAATTATTAAAGTCAATCGAAGTAAAACTAAAAGATCAACAGCCCATAATTGAGCTAGCAGGGCACGCTTACACAGTCAGCTGTTTAGGTAAATAAGCTTGAAGTGAGCTAGGGGTTACCGTTCTTACCCAGTTTAACCAATCAGGTCTCGCAGTCGTTCATAGTGACGCTAAGTTGTTTATATTTCAGACCATGCTCGAAAAGGGGTCTAAATCTTAACTTAATAGGGGCGAATGAAGGACGTTAAAGCAATGTGGCCATGAGTTAATGGTTCTATAAATAATCTCACAGCTACACACCAGCAGGTCAAATGTTAGAAAGGGTTTGAGGTCCAAATTTTTGTTAGCCACACACACACACACACACACACACACACACACACACACACACACA